TAAGTAGAGGCCGTTTAATTCTATCTTGTTTCCTTACTAAAACAAAAAGATTGTTTTGTTTCCTGCATCCTTGATATTTTAATCCTTCAAGTTAGTCAGAACTCTGTGGACAGGCCTTGTTTTTCTTGAAAATTTGTTTCATTAGCACTTTGAAGATGTAAAACCACTTTTTAAGTACTAAATACCATTGTTTTCCTTGGGCGTTTCCTCAGCTTCAGTTTGAAAGAATTTAGTTATGCCTTTTCTCTGTATAGAAATAGAATTTATTAATTTTAAATAATAGTGATTTCAATGTAATCATTTTTTTTATTATCTGCAAAAAAGGAGGAGGGGCAGTTATGTGTTGCTTTGTGACACATTTCTCTAGCGTAGATTTATCTTGTTGGTTATGGTTGACTTACATATTGAAATTTGTTTGCATTTCTTGAGAATATATTTACTTGAAAATAAAAGCAATCCAAATGTATGTAAATATTAGGTAGAAACCAATCTGGGATTTAAATTTTTCCTTGGCAAGTCTATAAAATTCATTCATATAGAAAGGTGGGAGTTGATAGCCCATTAGTGATAATTTTGTAATTCGGAGGAACATTTTTAAAGCAATTTCTTGTTAACAGTTTTTTCTTACTATATGATAGTGACCAATTTTGGGTATTTCATTGTTACTGAAATCTATTTTTCGAATAAAATTTTGTTCTTCATCTAAGTTTCAGGAGTCGGGTTTCACTTCATTTCATTACGTACACTCGAGAGCAATCAACAGTGCAGAAAAACCCCACATCCAAAAGGCAGGCTGCAGGTGCCAAAGGCACACTCTAAAGTAATAACATGGCAAACATCATTGGTATGATTTACATTAAACACACACTCTCCTGGGGTCCTCAATACTTTCTAAGGGTTCTGAAGCCAAAAAGTTTAAGAATGGCTATGTCTAAGTTGGGGCTTTGAAAGTTCACGGGACACATCCATTTTCTTCCTAGGAGCTTTCTGAAGTACCTCCTGAGACACACACTTGTAGGATTATTTTACACCCTAGTCGATTGGTGTGTAACACTTCAGAGGACACGTAGATGCGTCTCCAAGCTGACGGCCAGTTGCCCCTTGACTGAGAGAGTAGAGGGCATCCAGCGAGTAGAGCAGCTCTTCTGACTCAGCCACCCTATAGGACAGGGTAGAATAGAACTGCCCAAGAGAGTTTCTGACACTTAACTTTTTGGGAGTAGAAAGCCTCATCTTCATCCCACGAAGTGCCTGGTGGTTTAGAACTGCTGACCTTGCAGTTAGCAGCCCAATGTGTAGCCACTACACAACCAGGACTTTTGTGATGATCATTAGGAGGGCACAAACTATAAAGAAAGAAGAGGCTAGAGTCCTATTACAATCTGGCACATAAGAGAATTCAGCAAGTGGGTAAAGAATTCTATAGCCAATTATATTTTCTGTGATATTTTTCTGAATGTTTACAAATCAAAAATCCTTATAGATTAAGAAAAACAAACAGCTAAGATAACACTTTGCTTAAAGG